CTTGGTGAATCCTACGGATTGGCAGAAAAAGAAGAAGAGAATTCAAAGCTAGGATATCTGATTTCTAAGGTGAGTGTAWTAAAGCTTTGAGTATAAATTGTTTACATACAATTTAGTAGTATTTGGAACTGGTCATTATGAATATAATATGTATGTGGATTATCTGTATATGGACAATAAATAGTTCAAGTGTTGTCCGGACTTAATCCTAAATCGGATAAGAGGTGATCGGTTCTCTGGTTGGTCATGTCTTTTGAAACCAGAAGCTCTGGAAGAGAGACCAGAGAGTCTCTGGTAGAGAGACCAGAGGGGCTCTGGTCGAGTATGCTGAAATATATCCTAAGTCTGGTTAGTTAAACCAGAAGCTCTGGTCGTGAAACCAGAAGCTCTGGAAGAGAGACCAGAGGGGCTCTGGTAGAGAGACCAGAGGGGCTCTGGTCAAGTATGTTGAAATATATCCTAAGTCTGGTTAGTTAAACCAGAGGCTCTGGTCGTGAAACCAGAAGCTCTGGAAGAGAGACCAGAGGGGCTCTGGTAGAGAGACAAGAGGGGCTTTGGTCGAGTATGTTGAAATATATCTTAAGTTTGGTTAGTTAAACCAGAGGCTCTGGTCGTGAAACCAGAAGCTCTGGAAGAGAGACCAGAGGGGCTCTGGTAGAGTATGTTGAAATATATCCTAAGTCTAGTTAGTTCAAACAGCGGCTCTGGTCGTGAAACCAGAAGCTCTGGAAGAAAGACCAGAGGGGCTCTGGTCCTAGATGTTGAATTATATTCTAAGTATGGTTTGGAACCAGAGGCTCTGGTCGTGAAACCGGAAGCTCTGGAAGAGAGACCAGAGGGGCTCTGGTCCTGAATGTCGAAATATATTCAAAGTGTTTGTCCGGACTTCATATCCGAACAAAGTTGACCGGACTTCAAAACCGGTTATTGTGTTGAAATAATTTTGAAGTGTTTTTGAGATGTAATGGCGGTGTAACCGCGAGAGAGATGTAATGGCGGTGTAACCACGAGAGAGATGAAATGGCGGTGTAACCGCGAGAGAGATGTAATGGCGGTGTAACCGCGAGAGAGATGTAATGGCGGTGTAACC